TTTTTTGAAACAGGGTAAATTTGGCGCGTTGTGGATTTACAAAACAAAAAACTCAAGTAATTTTCCAGAGGTTTTTAATTTTGAAATATAGTTGGATGTTCAGTTTCGCTTTGAAAGCGTATGGTTGGCCGGAAAATAACATTAAGTCTACCGTCAGGGTGTAAAGCTAAGTTTTTCAGTGTAAAGTTTAAATAAATGTTGTGTCTTACCTGTTCTTGTGGTTTTGGTTGATTCTTTCATTATCCTTTCGTGCCCGAGTGATGAAAGTAGATCGTGGAGGCCGGTGCATACAGCGATGCAAAGAAACCTCTATACCTAGTCTTCTGGACTTCATAAAGTTGGGCGATATGTTCGATAATGTTTCCAAAGGGATCATTTCCGTAGTGCTGACGCCACATATATTCTTGTAGGTAGCCATCGAAAAGTCCTTTGAATGTTCCTGTCCGGGGCAAACAACGCTTGATTCCCCACCATGTTGCGCATTGAAGCCATTCCATCGCAACCTTTTTTTAACATCGCCACTCGTACTCGTCTCGCGATGAAGCACGTCGCGTCTAGCTAAGTTCATTGCTGCACCCAGCTCGAGGACATTTTATCGATGTCGCAAGCAGGTTGTGATCCTTACACCACTGTATGCACCGGTCGTGATCCGATAAGATTCGAGAAAGTCGAATGAAATTCATTTTTTCCATCTTCTCTTGTTCCTCATTGTCTTCGTGTCTTCTTCTTTCGTTGACGTTATTAGAAAGAGGGATGAATAAATTTTGTTTTTTATGTTGTATTTGGCCAATCGTCGAGAAGAAGAAATGCATTCTTTAGTGCAAAGGGGACCTTTGGTGCTTTATATCGATGGACACATTGTTATGAAAATGTTTTCAGTGAAGGTAAAACAAAAAATAATTTTTGGAGAGAAATTCTTAACTGGTTTGAGTAGCATAGTGGTCAGGCTATGGTCAGGCTATGGTCTGATAATGGTCTGGTATTAACGCTTTGACTGAGGAGCGATGGTTCAAGGCTCAGCAGGACTGCCAAGAAGGTAAAAACGAAAATAAAAAGGAGAGGTTGTTGGGAATAAAGGGAAGAAGGGAGAAGAACCCGAGAAAGAAATGAAAACGAAAAAGCCGCTCTCAATCAATTTCTCTTTTATTGAAGCAGTGAGACTTATTAGTAATGTATATATGCTAAACCCATGGGAATAAGTCATTGTCTTTAAAAACGATGAGGTGCATACATAATTAATGAATTGAATGAATAATTAATGTATGGGGTTATATGGGGTTATATGGGGTTATATGGTAATTTTTCCAATATCAGTTGTTGTAGGCTTTGTAAATCAGTTGGAGATTATCTTGCTCGAAGAACGTTTATGCAAAAGAAAATCGCGCATTGCTCGCCGCTGCTGAGGACATTTATGGCCGGCCGTTGAGACAAGAAAAATTTTTGCGACATCTATTATGTAGGCCTTGCGAAAGACGCTTAAAAACTTTTATTTCCTTCAAAACGGTGATCAGTGAAAGTCAGAGTTCTTTCGAAACGGTAAAGGGATGTACAGAAATATCACCATCTGTGCCAGGCACCTTAACCATGAGTGCAAGGGAATCTGAGAGAAGCCGTCGCGGTCTAAATTTCTTAACAGTCCAGCACAAATGCAGTCTTTGCCAGGAAAAGAGGTAAACAACTGTATCCTCGATAGTGTTTTGCCAGATTTGTTTTTAGTTACGTCTCCCAGATACTTCTTTGCCGGCCGCTTCCGAGTTGGGAGTATTTTTAACGAAAAGTGACAAATTTCTTTCAGAATGAGCTACCTTTGATTGACTAAGCCGCTGTCGGAAATGTTTGGGAAGATGCTGTCCAAGACCAGGAAAATTCGTACACGCATTTTTTTGTGCTCGTCTAACCGATCTCTCTTTTTCTAGTACCTATTTCCTTCAGAAGAGGAAAAATATATGCGTATGCGATTGCGCATACTTGTTCGATTTCCTTTGTTTACATAATTTGACGTGCCAGTGTTTATTTCATCACAAATGATATACATGATTAAATTACTCGGTTCTGATTGGTCAAGATAAGTGCAGTTTTCAGGTAATTCAGTGCAGAAGAGGGTTACTTCAGTCCAAAGAAAGTAACAAACCAGACATTCCGGATTGGTCAATAATCAAACAAACTCACAGAATTACCAAACTCCCTGGACAATTCCTTGAACTGTTTGGCCGGACTTTGAACTTTTTTGCGCCCTAAAGATGTGAAAATTTCATTTTATCTTATTTTTTGAATCGTACGCGGTTGTTTTGACCGAACGCACAATGACCCTTGAAGGGTTTGAATAAATTATTTTTGCACGTGATGCGCGCGTTTCAGGGGGCGTGGAGATGAGAGACCCTGGGAATGAGGTGTTTTTTTTATCTCGCTCTGTTGAACTTTGAGTGATGGGCAAAGTTGGCAAAGAAAAAACCCGCGGCAAGAAAGGTAAAGCTGGAGAAACCTGCTGAAAAGCAAAACAGCGAATCGACAGACAGCTTAAGTAATACCCTTCTCGCTGAAATGAGTTCCCTTGGGTAGGTTTCTTCATAACTTCATCACGATTCGAGGCTATTGCCTATGTTGTGTATTAAGGCTGGTACTTGCTTATTGAAAGGAAACTTCGTTTTTAACATTATATACGACAAATGTAGATTTGATGGTGACTTCTTTGCTCGTAATTTGGATGCCAGCGTGGTTAGGAGAGCCAGGACTGGTTTTTCCCGACAAAATGGTGCTATTTTCTCTTCTTTGGGCCTGTTTTTTTTTATTTATTAAGTTTTTATTTCTTAATTTTTGATTTCTTAATTTTGATTTCTGTACTTTATCCACGAGAAGAGATTTTCTTCTGGCAGAGAACTTTCTCGTGCTCGATGTAAACAAAATATGCAAACAAGATGAAACTGCCGCGAATATTCCTCCAGGGGGTTCGCCCATTTACGAGATTATGACTCACTCCTGATTTACTAACTTTTATTTGAAAATACGTTTTCCTAAATAAGTCGGTCGCTTTTTCTTTTTGTAAACTTTAGGTAAAATGTCTAACTTCAATCTAGTCCAAGAAAAATTGATTTGTTCGGCCTCTGAATGTGGGAAGTACCCTCAACTCAAACGCTTTCACGAGCATTTCATGAAAACGACAACGTACTCAGTACTTCCTATCTAAGAACCAATCCTTGATTGCGAAGGCGAAAACAGGAACTTCAGTGTGGGTCTAAGTCAAGGTCAAAAGACAAAGTACAAACTTAATGCACGTCCTTTGAAGGAAGTTAAACAAGAAATTCTATTCATTTATTTATTTATTTATTTATTTATTTATTAACTTCTCCACTACAAAGTATGGCAGAGGAACCGCAAAAGCGGGTAGCCAGTTACTGCGGGCCCCGAGAAAGAAAACGACTAAAAAAAAAATTGAGGAGATACAATTACGAAAACAACTAAAAGAATCTAAAATAGGTACAATTACATGCAGCACGTAACGTGCATAGCAAGACTTCTACAGCGATTACACTTGAGACATACAGTTTTGAACGAAAGAGGGTTATTAACATCGTAGGTAGCACTAAGGGGGGAATCATAGTATCCCCTCATAGTAGCCATGAAAGGATAGATACTGTCCATATTAAGCTCAAGTTCATCGGCAAGTGTGTTCCAAATTCGCGTAGATCTGATAAGTAAAGATTTCTGAAATGTTGAGGTTCTGTATCTACTGACCGTGGGTCTAGCTAAAACCCAAAGATATCGGATATTAAATCTAAATCTGTGCACTTTTCACTGAATTATAACTAACTAAAGAAATAGAATATAATTTGTGAATTATTTCGTATTGTTGTTAAGAAAGATTCTGAGATTTACTCTTCTCTTTGAGGAGCACCATGATGATGAACGAAATGGGCCCCGAAAGTTTGTTAGAGGGTGCCATTTAAGTGCTAGTGTTTACGCCTCCAATCACGCCCCTTTGAGCTCCTGATTCCTGTCACTTCCTCTGGGAGCCGGTCACGGTCGTTTTTCCGCGCGAGTGTAAAGTTGTTGTCAGTCAGAGTTTTCAAGCAAATCATTCTTTCGCTATGAGTTGTCCTTACGCTCACAACGGGTCAGAAAGTTCGATGAATCTCTTAATGTGTTCTGAGGTTTACTGAACGATTCGGCTATTGAGGTATTTTGATTTTCTTTTTGGTTTTCATCCAGCGATGGGAGTACGCCAGCCCGCAAAAGTGGCGACGACAAACGGATGTCTTATGGAGATTATCTTCAGGTTTGAGACTGTTTTGGTTAATTTTCACATAGTATTTAGCATTAGAAGGATAATCTTGCCACTGCACATCTTCCAGTAGGTACATTTACCACGATAGATTATATTTGTTGTTGCGCTAATACTCCAAGTAAGCATACGTGTATTAGAATTGCACGTTTAATTATGCGAGCTCCGTTATGTAAATTGTGCTACAGCACGCGTCCTCTGCGGGGCTAATTAATATCTCGCCTTTGATTCTCAAACTTTCGAATGCAAATGCCAATTAGAAACTCATAATTTTGAGGAGTTTATTCTATGAGTTAAGTCTTACATAAGCGATCGTTGCATCACACATGAACTTGTGTAACGATCATATTTCTCGTGTCTGTTTGTCTTAAATATACATTCTTTGAGTGCCTGAGTACATGTGAGCAGAATTATAGAAAGTATTTCTTATTGTACAGTTCTTCCTTGCGAATGATTCATGAATAAGATTTTCGAATAAAATATTGATAAGATCTTGCGATCTTATTTAATTATCTGTTCTGTGGCTGCCATCTGGAAAATGAGTTTACGCATCAGAACTATCGAAAGAATCGAGGAGAGTTAATTATTCTGAATGTGGTAAATTTGAGGATTGAAATGTTTATAAAAAAGCAGCCAAATTCCGACAACATGAAGATTTGTACATGTAAGGAAAATTCGCCAAAACTTGCTCATGTAGTCTTACCTGTTCAATGTTTTGCATAATTGTGTGATGTTTCGTGCATTCAAATTTCTATTTCTATATATTTGTACAGTTTGGAATAAAACTCGTTAAATTATATTTCTAAAGAGTGTTCTAGTTTAACGTATTATTATTGAATGAGTATATGAAACAATGATTCTGTGATTATCACAAGTAGTTTGCATCTGTAACTCAGAAATATGTTTTATATGTGGCATTTAAGTGGTAATTAAGAATTTTATAGGAAAATTCATTAGTTGATAAGGGAATTCTAATTGATATGCATGTGTTGAAATACATGAACAAGTCTCGAGTAGACGTGATTATTACCGTGCAAATATTAGATTGTCTTCGAAAAGCTTGTCTTCTTAATGCTTTGAGATATATAGGGTTGATCAAATCGATTTTCTTGCAATTTATGATATTTTCTGGTGTAATTTTGTTGGGAAATCTGTCATGCATTTTAAGTAATCACTGTCTTACAGGCTCACAAAATGTTTATTCGTTTTGAAGTGTTTATTTTTAGTTTTGTGGTTTTATTCATAGCTTTATTAAAGGTAGAATTATGAAGGAATGATAATAAAACAACCAAGGGGTTTAAGAGAAGATGATTAATCCTCTCCTTCAACCAAGAAACCACAGTCTTTAATTTCAGGGAAGTTTAGCACTGCTGAAATTTAGGATGTGTTTATAGCTCTTATTAGACTTGTGGATTTATTTCATGGAAGCTGCAGTAATTAAATGTTAATTTTCTATTAGTTGTAATATGTATGCGAAATAAATTGGTACTATCAGGAAGCAGTTAGTCAAAGTGTTTGAGAGTTTTAAGCAAAATCTGCTCATTATTGAGTTCAGAATTTGAAATGCTTTTCAATCCTTAGTCTCCTTCGC